GTGTGTGTGTGTGTGTGTGTGTGTGTGTGGGGGGGGGAGGGGGGAGGGGGGTAAGTGCAACCCTTTAGAATGGCTTTATTTTAAAGAATAAACAATTTGCTGTGGAAAAGTCTAAAAGAAAGTTATTTATGAAGAGAAATAGAGCCCTCTTTAGTTRGGGACGTGCTTTTTTGTTCTTTTCTTTTGAGCAGGACTTGCACAACAGAGGTGAGTGTGCTTGAGTCTACCGAGAACTGGTAAAGCTGCATCGACAAGTAATATTACAGCTGAACTCACTGACCGAGCTCTACTCCTGCATGCATAGAAATATACAGTGGGATTTGAGCTGCTGTGTGCGTGTGCATGTGTGTGTGTGTGTGTGTGTGTTTCTTACAGGGTTTAGAGGATGACACAGGTCCATATATACAAATATATACAAATAAAGAGCATTTTTTTCACACCCAAACACAATTACAAGCTAAAATTCTTGTGAATATTAAACTCTGAAGTGTTGCTATGTGCTCGTTTATCTTTTTTTTTTAAGTAATCGAGATAAAACATTTTTTAACAAGTAATATTGTTTTAAATCAATAAATCATTTACTTTAGGAGGCAAACATGTATTAAGTAGGACTTTGGCATGAGCACTGTTAATTTAAATTATGATGTTTTAGTTTTCTCTTAATATATACTAACATAACTGGATCGTGCAGTTCTTATATAAAATTTTCGATATTAAAGAATAAAATGTGTAACATAGAATGCTGCAAGCACATTATTAAAATATAACTTTAGTCTCTCTATATGTAAGTAAAAGTACCTTTTTGTTGTTTTTTTCATAAATTATCTAATTTTAAACAAATTTCTTCACATATTTTCTTATTTGTATACACGTTTATGCTGAGAAAATAAAGGTTAGTTGGAAAAACATTAAGTTGTTGGAAAAGTTATGGGCAGCTATTGTTGTGCTTCATGTGAGATTTTAATGTCAATGCAAACATWTAGCTCTAAAAATAGGTGATTGTATAAAAAATGGGCATCTAAATGAATTCCTGCAGGCAGAATTCATCCATCTTTTATTGCATTGATTGCCAAGACATAACTCATCGTATTAAAACTAAAAAAGTTCATATTCTTAATATAATCTGAACCAGTGATGTGTCCCAGGAAGCGAAGGAGAGGAGAAAACTCGTGGCCACCGTTCTCCATTCGGCTGCTCTAATTTGCAATCAGACGCCGAGCTCTGCTGCTGCCACATCTCCAAACAGTGTGGATGGCAGCTGAGACAAAGCTAGCATTCTCCTCCGCCCAGAGGCCCCTCTTATTTTTATTTCAGGCCACCGCTCTCAGACACAGACCACTCTGCGCCCAGAGTCTAAAGACAGCAGCCAGGAAGAGAGAGGAAAGGCCAGAGGAGGCTGAGGGAGGAGAGACGACGAGGACGTGTTGGGGAAAAAAATGTGGGAGGAGGCCAAAGTGCAACCCCCCCGACCACCACCACCACCACCACCACCACCACTGCCACCTTATAACCACCTGACCTCCTCATTCTTTTAACTTTGCTGCACTGCGGCACCACACCCCAGTTCATACCAGGAACAATCCTGGATCAGGCCGAGTCGAGCTGAAAGCACAAAAACTATCCCGGTCGAAGTGCGGTGAAGTTTTTATCTTTGCCTAGGCCTGCAACAGGCAGATCCGACCTTTGCTCCAATAAAACCAGAATATTTTATTTTAGCACTTGATTTATTCGGGGGGTGGGGGGGGGGGGGTGGCACTGATGAATAAATCCCAAAATACAGTACGGTATGACATCATGGTTTACATTTCACCGTTTTTAGGATTCGTTTTTTACGGCCCACTGAGACGAGGCCGTGTCCCTCGAAAGGCCGGCAAATATTTTCCGACCTTCCAGAAACCTGACATCAGCCAGAAGTGCGAGAACGCCACGTGCCCGCACTKCTGTCTGAGCGCGCCCGTGTCGAGGGCCGTACAGTATGTTGTGGTGCTGGTTGCCACAGGGAACGGGTCAATGATTACTGAGCGGGTCAAGCGGGTCCTCTAGCTTGGGTCAACAGCTGTCATCTGCAACTTTAGGCATTATCAGCTTGTAAAACACCATTGTGCATCGCAGACTGGGTTTATGACGTTTTCTGTTTTTATTTGAATGATTTGATTTTGTTACGAGTTGCTATAAAAAGGTATTTGGACCACGTGTTTGGTGAGACTCAAGAATCTGACCTTCTCAGGGGAGGGGCCACACAAAGCTTGTGATCTTTGTCGTCTTATAGGTTGTTGTTGTAGTGCTCTTATTTTGAAGGCGAGTGGAAGCTTACCAACAGGGTCACCAGTGTCTCCATTTGTATTGGAGTTTGTGAGAGATTTGTGAGTCATGTCAACACAAAAAAATACAAGTAATAAAAAAAAATTTAAGGTTTGGACTTTTAGGTGTTTATTTACAAAAGTCAGCAGTAAAGTTTGTCCTTGATCTCACTGTTATGAAACACGACTCTAGTGCAATTCCTCAAAATTATGTATCCACAAATGTTTTTCTGAAAACCCTCATTTATGTTAAATATAAAAAATTAAATTCTGAGATTCTGCAAAAGTCCCAGTTCTGTATTTGTCTGGGTCAGGCGTTTAGGAAAATCCCGTCCTCGATGCAATCCTGGACGGACCCAGAACTCCCTCTCCTGAGCCTAAACTTGACGAATCTTTGGCAGCGAGTCGGACAAACGACCGGATCGAATGGCTCTGATTTCTCCTCCTCTTCGATCTCTTTCTCACTTTTAACCAGTGGGTAAAGTACCAGAATGTTGTTCTCAAGTACGAGTAGCACTAATTCAATATATTTTACTCAAGTGA